TAGCGGCGACACCTTTTTTTATGATGCGGACAAACTTTTCTAATTATTTTACTATGGATGTTTTTTAAGTAATGTAATGCAAGGAGCACAAACAACGATATATTGTGTGGTAGATGAAAAAGACGGGCGAAGAGACTGAGCTCTATTATTCGTAAACGTTATATGATATATATATATATAAATATATTTTTTATATATTAATTTTATGGTATATTTAAAAATTACGTATGTAATACTTGTAATTTTTCTTTGTTTTTATTAGTGATTGCAGTCCTGCCATGACATATAGCAGAGCAATGAATGCCGATTATAGCAAAAAGTTGTGGGATATATCTTGTCGACTGTTGCATTTGGAGCCCGAGGAAAATCTTGTTGCATTATTGAATACTATTTCACGTCAAATTGCTGATTAATCCGAGGTAAATTTATTATCAGTCTTTACTACATTCTATCAATTTCATATAAAATTGAAACATAATATTTGGTTGTATCATAAGTCCATAGCGCTTTTTTACCGGAGACAATGCTGTCGGTCTGATAGGATTGGGAAGGTGTCATCCACTTTGAGTTACTACCAAAAAATTAAACTATCACGGCCGAGCTTTATTTGCAACAACTGCGACGTCTGGCCAATGCGATTCAACAAAAACGACCAAACCGCCGATATAATGTCATTTTGCAACATGACAATGCTCGGCCGCACACAGCTAATTTTACGAAAGCAGCCATCTAGGAGTTTGGCTGGGAGCTTGGCTGGGCGTACTGAGGAAAACCGAAAACAATGGCTTGTACGGAAACGTCTGTACTCTTAATTTAAATAAATAATTAAGCACGTAAAAATATCCAGCTCTGGTTCTATAAGCTTGTTTATTAATAACATTTGCTTATGCAAAACGGATTTGTTTGTCAAGAAAAAATTTATTGTATTTAGCTGATTTTTACTTTATATTTATAAAAATGGTAGAGGCATGGTATTCAGGAAATTTTAATAACATATAAATATTTTAAAAATATAAATTAAATTAAATATAAATATTTTTATTATTTTAATATGACAATATATTAAATATTTATATAATATGCAACAAGTAAAATCCTTTTATGAGTATGGAGTATTATATTAATATTATGCTGTCACTATTAAAAACAAGATAATTTATGTAAATAAAATGTAAACGTTTTAAGTGAAAAACTTCTTGACAATTTCTAATTTTATTAATAAATAAAAAAAAGTTTTTTTTTAAATTATTTATTTATTAACTAATGTGTGACTTCGTAATTTTAATCAAACCAAAATTTTTTTATTATAAGTTCTACGCAATTAGTTAGAAAAGCGATGGAATCTTTCTGGAACGGGTAGAGTGGAGGAATTTTTAAATGGAACAAAATTTGTCTTAAAATTACTTCTTGTTATAAAAAAAAGGTTTTACTAATATAGAAGACCTTAAATATGCGTAGCGTAAATCGGAGAAAAGTCAATGTAAGTGTGGAATAGAACTTTATAAGAGCAACATAAACGAAAAGTATTTCTATCTTTCTCACTTACTTTAAACTTACTGCGACGTGTCATATACGTTCGACGTTCAATGATGAGAACAATCGAACTTATTAATATATTTAGAAAAGCTGTTAATAAGTAAAATTTGAAATTATTACAGAATTAGTGAGTTGTTTATTTGTAATATTTATTGATATTTGCAATATCAAGAATAAAATTTGTGAAAGTTATATTAATAAAGAAGATTTCTTTTTCTTCTTCTTCTCCTTATTTGTGATCTAATGATCTATTTGTTTTCGAAGTTACCTAGCACCGGTTTTTTTTATGAGGTGGATTGCCATCTATATCTCCATTTTTTGGGGAGTCCTTCAGGTAAGCGACGACCATTCAGTTTTCTTTCGAGTGTTATGCGTGCTGTTTCCTTTTATTCGTCTCACATGGTCATCCCGACAGTTGCGTAACATCCATGTCGAATTTATTTACATAATTTACGTGGATTACGTAAATGTAAATTTATCTACGAATTAATAAGGATGTAACGTTTTATTTTTATCACTACATCGAAATATTTTAGTCTTGAAATGTCAATATAGATTTCACGTAGAAATTTCTACTAAAGATAATAATTGATCAATGAGGTATATTGTTGTGTTCATCGCAATGTGATTTTCAATGGATAATCAATTTACGAATATCTTGATTTTTATATATACTGCAGGCGAGGTAAATTTGTATTAAACAAGACAATATTATTCTATACCCAGTAAAAAATATAGATCAAAAAAACGTCTAATAGACATCTTATAGACGCCTATAAATATTTATATTTATACGTTTATTAGATCAATAATAAAACAACGTTTATTATTCACTCAAATATCCATATGGTTTCTACGATACTGATTCACATGACAATAACGTGGATTTCATGTACTGTTTTTGTCGAGATACCACGTTTTCTTAAAAACAGAATTCTTGAAGATTAAAGACAGAATTTCACGTTTTTAAATAAATTTTTGTGAACTAAATAATCGCCAATAATTTCTATATTTTTTTAGCTAGAAATAAATTTGTATTATATATGTCTGATTTTAAAAATTTCAAGCTCTCAGAATAAAAATCTTTAACTTTATTTAAAATATGTAAATTTTTATTCTTGAAAACAACAAGCTGATAGAGCCGGAGCTAGTTATAATTGCTCAAATTTCCTTTTATTATAACATTACATACGTTTCGGCCTAAAGGACGTGGCCATCTTCAGTGTAACAAATTAAAAAATCGTCGTTAGTCGTAAAACGTTGACAAGATAGTCAATTTAGGTAACGCATCCTTATCATGATAGGAAATTTGAGCAATTATAACTAGCTCCGGCTCTATCAGCTTGTTGTTTTCAAGAATATTATTTGAATAAGAAAAAGAGCTATATATTTATATTGTATTTTTAAATTTTTATTGCACAGTAACAAACTGGTCCGGCTGAATAAAATTACCAGTCGTTTTTTTTCATTGCTGACTTAGTGACATTTCCGTGATATCTGCTATATATTTTTTCTTAAAGACAATGTGTTTTTTTTACTCCAATTGATTTATTTTATTATTCTGTGTATAAAAGTGTTAAGGTAAGATAATTAAAAAATAAATAATTAATGTCAAGGCTAACTACTGTACATCAATAGCCAGCCTTTAAATTTGAAAGTTCCAACTTTCTATGTCAGTTGAGTATGAATCTTGAGAGGCATAGGTTGTTCAGATGCACTATTCTCACATAAGTTACGTTATTGTGTGATTTTAATTTATTATTATTACAGTTTAATTGTTTTGCAATTTATTGACTATAATATAACTACGTACTTACTCGGATTACAAGGTTTGTTCGTTCTTTTTTTCGTTACTTTTTTGTTAGTTTAGATGAAATGCATTAATAACTTATACAACTTTTTTTTTACCCAGACAGCACAATGTCTAAAATACATCTAAAGGATATCCAGAGGACGTTCTATCGTCTCAAAAACATTTTCGAGATATCCTCTGGACGTCTTTTGGATATTCTGTGCTGTCTGGGTAATTTTTCTCTTTCTACTTAGCTTTACAAATTCAAAAGTGATTATTACACTACTTACTTAACATTTTGTTGGATTACTTCAATACATAATATTTTTAATGCTTAAATAACTAAATAATCTTGATTCTAGATCTTTACTTTTTTTTTAATGAACCATCCACGCTTTCTTCTGTATTGCCAACAGACCTTGCTAACTTTGCTCTAATCAATCTTCAATCATAGCAGCACGAGTTTTTCTTGTAATTTTATTACTTTTTCTTTTGTACGACCCATACAGCACAGAACATTGCAATTACATTGCAGCAATGTTACAATCTTGCAAGTTGCAATGTAATATTGTTGAGACATTATTGCAACCTGTAATTGTAATATTTCATGAGAATGTGACAGCAACATTCCAATAACATTGCAATAACAATATTCGGTAATCGCTAGTTTGTTTGTTTACCGCTATGCGACGCGCGTTGCAAAATCTATCTCGTATTTAAGTTTTAGTCATGATGATTATATAAAACTTGCAAAGAGTGGCTAGTAAAATTAAAGACATAGTAATTATTTTTATCAGTTTAATTTTTCTGATACGACTTCAACACTGAGAATTCAGATATTGAACTGATTGTTCAAAAATCGGACAGATAAATGTCCGAATAAATAAAAATATATGCAACATTATTCTAAGATTGCAATAACAATTTGCATTATTGCAAATTCATTACATTGCAATATTACTGTAATATTTCGTTACAATCTTTATAAAAGCGGACATTTTAACGTTGCTGTAACCCCACAGCAATGATGCAACAACATTTTGCAGCGAATTTGCAATATTGCAACATTGCGATGAAAGATTGATGCAATGTGTATGCAATCTTTGTGTGCTGTATGGGGATAGACATTCAAATTACAATAACTGATAACAATTATATTTTCTATTGTTTTATAAATTAATTTTTAAATTTTTGTTAGTTATATAATAGCGCACAAAGAAAAGAGAATGTTTCTAATAAAAGTTAACAAAATCGATGTTGTTATTTTATCATTAGATGTGATAGTTGGGACATGTGAAATATGCCTCATTTTTGTACGCATGCGCTACCTGTTGTAATTAAACGAATTAGACTATCTACATTTTATCTACAGTGTAGATTCTACGCTCGCTCAGAATAGAGTAGTAAGCATATGTTCAAGATAGCTCCTATTTTTCTACCAAAATACTCAACAAATAGCAATAAAATGTATGTTATTGGTAAAATACCTAAATTGTGCTGAGTATTTGTTTGTAAAGAAACATTAGTATGTTTGGCTCTTCTTGTAAATGCACTAACAGTTTTATGTCGATGAGGATCAAAATGTAATCAAATTCTTTATATGCGCTTATATATATTTTGTGTCGTGTTGAATTATTTGTATTGGCTTTAACCTGTCACTTTTAAGAGCACATCAGCGGTGTCGTCAAAGTTGAGCATAATATAGAAAATGTGGCCTTTTAATACCTTGTGTGATAGTACGGCGCGTCTTGATGGCAAAACTGTGATTATAACGGGAGCAAATTCTGGAATCGGTAAGGAGACTGCCAGAGATTTATATCGAAGAGGTAAGTGAGAGCGAATTGTGCACGGAAAGGACACTTTTGCTGAAATATCTATAAATTGAGCCAGATACAGATCTGAATATAAATTCTGTTGATCATTCAAAATCTATCAATAGAGCCCTCGATCTTGGTTGATCAAATCTTGGATCATCAAAACTTTTTGCTGCGATATGAAAAAGATCGAGTGCTTTATTGATAAATTTTGATTATTTTGATACAAGTATATACATATAATGATACATATTAACTAAACACTTTCCGCTACTTTTTTTAATTTTGATTTCTTAAGTTAAAAATGCAAAAAGTATATTTAAACATGGATAACATTTTTGCATTTAGGTGCCAGGGTGATTTTGGCTTGTCGTAATATGGAAAAGGCAAACGCTGCAATGGACGACATAAAGAGGAATCCATTTTCAAAGTAAATATATAAATCATATCCATGTAATAACATATTAATAATTAAATTATCAATTTGAATTGATTCAATGAATAAGGTGTAAATTTTAGTTATTATTGATTCTAAATAAAGCATTATGATGTATTTTTAAAATAAATTTGCATCAATGTATATTTAGAAATATTAAGCAAAATTATATTAATAACTCTAATAAATCGTAAGATAATCGCAAATTGTAATTAAAATATTATTAGTAATAAACAATAATACACAATAATAAAATATTTTTGATTTATTAGTTATTTTACAGAAATGTAAAAAATTTTGATTTTACACGTTTTATTTGTTTGATAAAATAATACTGATAATTTTATATTACTTTCAAGAGTGGATGGGCAACAGGTGAGGGATAAAACAGGTGATCTCGCGGTTTACCAACTGGATCTCAGCAGTTTTCAAAGTGTAAGAAAATGTGCTAAGAGTTTACTAACAAAGGAACCGGTGATTCATATTCTCATAAACAATGCCGGCATTGCAATGTATCCATTCGAGAAAACCGAGGACGGAAACGAGATGCACCTGCAGTCGAATTATCTCGGACATTTTCTTTTAACGCTGCTACTACTACCGAAATTGCGATCATCTGGCTTTGGCTGCAGGATAATTAACGTATCGTCTATGGCGCATTGGTGTAAGTTTGAATACATATTGCAAGACGGACCAACAGAAAAAACATAGAACATATATACAAATACAAATACATTGAATAGAGCAAATGCTTTGAAATTGGAACAAGTTTTTTAACTAATTATGTAAAATAATTGATAAAATTTGAATAATTAGTTTTTATTGAAAATCTTATATAATTTTATGTGGTAACTTTCAGCTGACTAACCTTTATTTGTAAAGAAAAGTATTAAATTTTAGGCTGGTATAGTAATTTCATGAAATCAACATTTTCCATACTTGCTGCCATTAAAAACACAAATTATCCTTTTCTTTAACAGTTGGCAATATAAATTTTGATGATATCAATTTGGAAAAGTCTTATGGACCATGGAAAGCTTATGCACAGAGTAAACTGGCAAATATTCTATTTACTAAAGAACTCGCGCATCAATTAGCAAGTAAGTTAAAAAAGAAGTTTGGACAAATTATCGATAAACAATTGGTTAAAGATTAAGAGGATGCTGGAGTGCCTGACGAACTCCGACGCGAAAGCGCCATCATTTCAATGGAACTAAAAATGAGAGTTTATTGACATACTCTTAGGATAACATGTCTTTTAGAGCTATCAATTTTAGCTTTTTATAAAAGTTTAACGATTTTAATACACCGAATAAGAGCAGCGCAAATTGCGGACTGCAGAATAGAATGTTATGGAACCATTAAAATTGGGCTGAAAAGTCTAATGTAAAAAATATTCTTGTCCGACTATTTTTACATACATTGTGCGTCCATTATCGGTATAACAGATGAAAAAATAACAGAAGATTAGTTCCAGGATAATATCAGAGAGGCGCTATACAATAATATGCGAATATATACACGCACCACACATACGCATACACAATACATTCATACTTAGATTATGACTTATGCCGATAATATCACTCTCATTTTTAGTTCCATCGAAATGATGGCGCTTTCGCGTCGGAGTTCGTCAGGCACTCCAGCATCCTCTCTTAAAATTATTTAATCATTTATTATATTTATTATCAATATATGATACATTGTAAAGTAGTGTAAAAAGAGTGCGATACTTTGTAAAGTTTAATAAATATAAATCGTAATGATATATTTGTATACAATTACAATTTTTTTAAATGTTAAAAGGAACGTGTAGGCTATTTAACATTTAAATTAATTAATATTACAGAGGTACACATACGAGGGATAAATGTTTACGCCTTACATCCTGGTATTGTATCAACGGAAATAGGACGTCATGTTGGCAAAACCTTTTTTTCTGGTTCGGATAAACTTTTCAATTTTCTTACATGGATGTTTTTTAAGAATGTAGTGCAAGGAGCACAAACAACGATATATTATGCGGTAGATGAAAAAGCGGGCGAAGAGACTGGGCTCTATTATTCGTAAGCGTTATATGATATATATATAAATATATTTTTTATATATTAATTTTATTTTATTATTTTATATTTAAAAATTAATTATGTAATACTTGTAATTTCTCTTTGTTTTTGTTAGTGATTGCAGTCCTGCCATGACATCTAGCAAAGCGATGAATGCCGATTATAGCAAAAAGTTGTGGGATGTATCTTGTCGACTATTGCATTTGGAGCCAGAGGAAAATCTTGTTACATTATTAAATACTATCTCACGTCAAATTGCTGATTAATGCCAGCTAAATTTATTGTTAGTAGTACTGACAGTCTTTACTACACTCTACCAGTTTCATGTAAAATTGAAACATAATACAATAGGCGTTATGAGAACCGAATAAAGTAGATACTGCAATAAAATGATAATTCCGAGTGTGATGTTCTTCTTCTGATATATTATGCGACAGATGGACAAACATAAGTCTTGTCCAAAAGATCTTGAAAAGCCTTGTCAAATGAGACCGTACAGAAGTCTGTATCTCTTATCATTTCCAAGAAAGTCAGATTCGGGAACAGAATCGAGTAACTAAAATATCTCACAAATTTAAACAAATAAATAGACAAATATAGGTCTTTTTCTTGAGAAGTCTTACCAAAGTTTTATCATAAAGAATGCAAAATAAGAAGCGTAAATTACGATGTAAAATTACGATTACTACTACTTACAAACTACGGTTGCGCAATCGATGAAAAAGTGACCAATGAAACTAATCTTTATTATATATTTATAAATTATATAATACATAAATATATCCATTCTTAAAAAAGGCATGAATTCGTTAAGTTTCCATTACCAAATATTTGGTAATAAGGACGAAATTTTTTAGTTTCCATTACCAAATATTTGGTAATGAGGACGAAATTTTTTAAGTTCCCATTACCAAATATTTGGTAATGAGGACGAAATTCTTTAAGTTCCCATTACCAAATATTTGGTAATGAGGACGAAATTCTTTAAGTTCCCATTACCAAATATTATGTAATAAAGACAAAATTCTTTAAGTTCGTATTACCAAATATTTGGTAATGAAGACAAAATTCTTTAAGTTCGTATTACCAAATATTTGGTAATGTGGACAAAATTTTTTAGTTTCCATTACCAAATATTTGGTAATAAAAACGAAATTCTTTAAGTTCCCATTACCAAATATTTGGTAATAAAGACGAAATTTTTTAGTTCCCATTACCAAATATTTGGTAATGAGGACGAAATTCTTTAAGTTCCCATTACCAAATATTTGGTAATGAGGACGAAATTCTTTAAGTTTACATTACCAAATATTTGGTAATGAGAACGAAATTCCTTAAGTTCCCATTACCAAATATTTGGTAATGAGAACGAAATTCTTTAAGTTCCCATTACCAAATATTTGGTACTTAGAACGGAATAATTTAGTTCTCATTACCAAATATTTGGTAATTAATACAAAATTATTTAGTTTCCATTATTAAATATTTGGTAATTAGGACAAAATAATTTAGTTCCCATTACCAAATATTTGGTAATTAGGTCGAAATGATTTATAATAACATAATCTATTGTGTTAGATTCAACCATAATTTTATAGTTGGATCGACCATAATCCATTGTGGTAGATCCAACCATAATTTTATAGTTGGATCGACCATAATCCATTGTGGTAGATCCAACCATAATTTTATAGTTGGATCGACCATAATCCATTCTGGTAGATCCAACCATAATTTTTTAGTTGGATCGACCATAATCATTGTGGTAGATCCAACCATAATTTTATAATTACTAAATCATTTCCTCCTAATTACCAAATATTTGGTAATAATTACTAAATTACTTCGTCCTAATTACCAAATATTTGGTAATAATGATTAAATCACTTCGTCTTAATTACTAAATATTTGGTAATTTCTAATAAATATTTACTTGAATACAAAAAATTATATATAAAAAAAAAATTATTTATTTGAATCAAAAAAATATTTACTGAAATCAAAAAAATATTCACTTGATTCTAATAAATATTTACTTGAGTCTAATAAATATTTATTTGATTCTAATAAATATTTACTTAAATATAAAAATTTATTTACTTGAATAAAAAAAATATTTACTTGATTCAAGTGAATATTTACTTGGAATCAAAAAAATTATTTACTTGAATCCACTCTTAAAAAAGGCATGAAAAATCGATACTCAAATGTATCGAAAGTATTGTTGACGCTTTTTTTGCGACGCTGATTGTTATCTTGATTATTCTGGCAGTTTGATAGTTTGAGAGCAAAAGTTATTTTGGCGGTTATTTAAAATTAAAAAATTTTTTTAAATATTTAGATTTTATAATTATTAAATTATAATAATAAGTGCGCGCGCGTAGCGCGCGCTTGTATTGTTCTAGTCTTAAAAAAGGCATGAAAGATCAATACTCGAATGTATCGAAAGTATTGTTGACGCTTTTCCGCGACGCTGATTGGTTATCGCGATTATTCTGACAGTTTGATAGTTTGAAAGCGAAGGTTATTTTGACGGTTATTTAAAAAAAAAAATGTTTATTAAAATATTTAGATTTTATAATTATTAAATTATAGCAATAAGTGCGCGCGCTACGCGCGCGCTTGTATTGTTCTAGTCCTATCTTAAAAAAAAGCATGTTATTGACTTTTGAAGCCTTTTTTCGTTGCCATCCGACGGTTATCGATCGATTTATCTGTCCTGAAATACGCGTTGATGATTTTGTTTATTATTGATTAGTATCAATGATGCAAACTCGAGCCGGCCAGCACCAGGGCTCCGTGGTAGGGGAAGTATGCACACAAGCGAGAATTGGTTACGTCACACGTATGTGTGCGCACCAGGAGCCCTGGTGCTGGCCGGCTCGAGTTTGCATCACTGATTAGTATTGTCATCACAACGTTTGCGTTGACAATTTTGTTTATTATTATCGATCGGTTGTCTATCGCGAAGTACACACAAATATTTACTTGAATTATGTAATGGTAAAACACGTGTTTTGTATAAATAGTGTTTTTATAAACATGTATATAAATATGTATAAATATTATTAACTTTCACTATTGTTATATATTCGGCTCTGCTCAACGCTTGGAGCAGCTCTATTATATTGAACTGATATAAAATCCATTTAATTCACATATTACACGACCTAATACAATAATGCAAAAAACAGTTAACATAAAATTACGTGACCGGCTCCTGACTTATATCAAAGTATAAATGTAAAAATACGTGAACGCAAAAGTGTTAATAGAAACATTCAATATTCTTCAAAAAATAAGTTACACTACTTATAAAGTGCACGATTAATACAGAATATTGCAATATGGATAAATTAAAAACATGATGTTTTATAATAAATATGAATTTTCGTTATTTTCTCGCGCAAGTTCTATCAAAATTACATTTAACACTTTTGATATAAAGATACTTTAAAGATGGCTAATTATATGTACTGGCAGTTAAATGACAATTTATTAAGTCGAGATTAATATAGTTGCAATATCGCGTGATAATATTAAAATAATAAAAATGAGAAATATTTCTAATAAAATAAAAATTGCAATGGCTAAAAATAAATATTTCACATTTTTAACTTTTCCATATACTGCACAAAGAATATATGTAGATTAAAACAATTAAAACTAGAATTATCTGTAAAAATTAAGTAAACTTGCATATAATACTGGCATTATCTGATACATAAAGTTACATATGAAGCAGCACTAAAAACACATGCAAATGAAATGAAATAAAGAGTAAAAATGAAAATAATAGAATCCTAGAATTTAAGATCTCTTTGCACTTCGTGCATCATTGCTGACGATTTATGCAGCAATGCTAATTCATCATCCATTAACTTCTGCTGAACGATATGAGTAACGCCATCTTCACCCAGCGCGCAAGGTAATGATAAAAACACTTCCTCGTTAATTCCGTGATGACCCTAAAATTTATTGAATTTGTTTTCTAGATAACCAAACTTTTAACAATAATATAATATATTTTAATTAGAAATTAATATGTAATTAATATCATTAAAATAAACACATATATACGTATAATAAAATTAATGTATAATTAATGCATAAATATGTTTTCATTCATTACTAAAATCTTTAAAGATATGAAATATAATTAAACTATAACTAAAAATTGTTACTATAAGCTGCAATTTAATAGTTAAAAAAAATAATCACAATATAAAAATAAAATAATTGATAATCATAAAACATTTCTATACTGAATAAAATATAAAAACTAAAATTTAAAAATAATTATTTCAATAAGTTATTGTAAATTAATATAGAAGTATAAATTGTGTTGAAATGGAAATCTACAATGTTAACTTACGGTAACCAGCGTGGATACAGCATGCACTTGATTGGAATTTCTCAGTATCGCTGACGCGAGGTGCGACACGCTGAGGCCGATAGCCCACGAGGTATATCCTTTAAGTTTAATTACCTCATATGCACTTTGGATTACCAGCTTATGCAACTCGTCCCAATGTTCTTTGTCTTTATCGGTTCCCACGTGTTCGTTCAAATCACGAAAACGTACTCCGGCAACATTAACTCCAGACCACACAGGCACTGATAAATAGAAACAAATTTTACAATTATTATAGACGTAAAAAAAATAAGCATACATTTGTTTAATTATTACAATGACATTACATATACAGGGTGTTTCATAATGTCCGTGCCAACGTTCGTGTACGGGTAGAGTGCGGTAAACTGAATAGAAAAGTCCTTTACCGTTTTGCAATTTCCGTAATAATAATTGAAATATTAATTAAAAAGGATTGACGAATAATCGCGCGTTGCACGCGGTTAGACCGTGGTCTGTACGCTCTAGGCGTAACAGCAATGTAGATCGCATGGCAACGAAAAATAATAAGGTGTGGCGACAGTAGGAGTAATACGCGTTGTATTTATTATTATTTTTTGTTGCTATGCGATCCTTATTGCTATTACGCCTAGAGCGTACAGCCCACAGTCTGTTACTACTATTTGGTAATGTCTGCTCAGCCGCTGAATTGATTATTCACCATATCTTTTATTCAATTGCGGAAAATTTGCTATTTTAAGCGCTTTACCTACCGCTAGTGTCACCGTGTTCTCCGATAATCCAGCTGTGGCAAGATGTAGGTGCGACTTTAAGTTTTTGCGATAACAAAAAGCGGAAGCGGGCAGAGTCCAGATTCGTACCGCTGCCAATAACTCTGTTCTTTGGCAAGCCAGAAAGTTTCCATGCCACATATGTTAAGATATCCACCGGGTTAGAAACGATGAGAAGTATCGTGTTCGGACTATATTTGACTAATTTAGGAATAATGCCTTTGAAAATATCAGTGTTACGTTGAACCAGATTCAATCTGGTTTCACCTTCGCGCTGACGAGCGCCAGCCGTCACGATGCAAAGACTTGAATTCGCAGTCACAGCGTAGTTTGTACTAGCGTTAACTCTTGCGTTTTTCAGAAACGCACTGCCGTGTTGCAAATCCAACATCTCTCCTTTTAATTTGTCCGCCATTACGTCAATTAATGCCACCTCGCTCGAGACATGCTACAATGACAATAATTTATTGAATAATATGATTTTTTATATGAATGTAATACAACATTGATTATTGTTAATTATCGCATTATTAACTTACGTTTGTCAAAATACTAAAAGCACAGGCCATTCCAACTTGACCGACACCGACTATTGAAATTTTATTTCTACTAGTCGAGACAGGCTCCGACACAGTAGTTAAAAGCTGATCTTTCAATGTTGCCATTTTCTGTAAAATTATAAAAATAATTTAATAATATAATTTAATTATATCAATTAAAAATGTAAATTTATTAATATTTTTTTGTTTAATATTATTTTTACTACTCCTTATATTTTTTTATATTTATAAATTACGAAAAGTCAAAACCTGATTTAAATTGATATGTGTAATATTTAAGTGGATACTAGGAGAGCTAATATGAAGGAGGACTATGAGGATTGATATGAAGGTCAAAAAAGTCACGTAGTACTGAAGACGCGCATGTCCGTGAAAGAAACTTGATCATTTCAAAAGATTTCTTCTAACAATAATTGACTCTCTTCGTCTATTCCGTTCAATTAAATCCAAACTGAGGTCGTTAACACGAGTTCAAGAGCCTAGCGTGTCTTATTTTAGAAGGCCGCGTCAAGAAATGCCGTTTCGAATGATACAGCGTAAGATATATCATACAAATTCTACTGCGCTTGCTGCATCTGCTCGAATGCAACGAATGGTGCATGCGATTGTCAGATGGCAGTAGAGGTATAACCGGCAAGCACGTGTATCAAACCTTGAGACACCGGCATTTCCTCTTTATTAGACAAAGTGCAAACGTGTGAATCAGAAAGCGGAAAAGCGCGGACAGTGAAGCACATTGCAATTTAATTATAGATCAGTTCGCAGGGATCGCGGACTGCTCGTTAATCATAGATCGCCGATAGTGCTTGACCGGCGAGATATAATCGATGAGCAACTCATACAACGTCCGGTATTATTAAACTCGCTACATTTTCTATGAGAAGGCAGAGAACGATAAATTATAATATACTAGTAACGGCACGTATCTTGTAACATACACGATAATATAACATCGGCACTCTACCGACGTTTTATCAAAGATAATAAGCAGCCAGCTGATAACGAGCAGCTAACCAAATAAATAAAGCATAACATTAATTTTAACTAAGTATTATGTTATCAATATTTTTAAATATTAACAAACTGCTTCAAAGACGATTAAATATGATAACATAAAGAGTTAAAATTGATTTCTTACAAAACAATCTTAAATTTATTTAAATTTCACGATAGTTTCATGATGAAACTAAACATAAAACAAATTTTAAATCAAATTTTAATTTTTCTAAGCACTATCATGTATTATAACAATTTAATTCAAACATTGTAATTTGAAAAAAAATGTATTAAAAAAGAGCTGACCTCAATGTATTCCCTTGACAATACTATTTCTCGACACTGTCGAACATGGACTGAGAACGTTACAACTGGTACTCCGCTATACTACTAACTGACTGAACTGACAGTTCAGGGATGTGGCTTTACTAAGGTGACCTTGCCCCCACTTTTTTATGTGGTCTGCAAACGACAAGTATGACGAAATATGCGAAATCCTGACGGTCACTGCAGTTCAAAAAATTTTTAAATAAAAAAATAACGACCGACTTTACGAAGTTTTCTCAGTAGACTTTCTCAAAGTATCACGCGGATTTTAATTCGAATATCGTAGTAAGTACAATCGTGAATGCTTCGGAGCACGTAGCGCGGTTTCGAAGAAGGAAACATAACGTTGCGCGTGCGTAAAGTGATGCAACCTACACGTACACGTACGGTGACGTTACTCATCATCGATCGAGTTCAAAGAAATTTTCTCCTTTTGTATCTCCCGAGAGTTTAGCAACGAGATGCTGTGAAGATGTCGAAGAGTGGGGCAGGTATATTTCTGGAAGCAATATCGTAAGTCGTAACTCCCGTATTTTATAGTGCAAAAACTTTATGAGCTACAACTGGTGTAGTTAAATCTGTCTCGACATCCGCAAATGTAAAAAAAAATATTCAAATCAAACATTCAATTCAAAAGTATTTAGAAAAATATTTTTTATAATTTTTATTAAAAACCACTATTTTTAACTTAATTTTTTTACATTAACTATCAATTCTGGTTAGCAAAAAAAGAAACATTTTCAAGAAAGCTAAAATAATTATTTAAAATTAAAACTTAATGTGGAATTTAATTTTATAGTTGGAAACAATGTTAAGTTTATTAAATTTTGAAGTTGATATTTTACTGAATTTTTATTAATAAAAATTAACGCGTCGAAAAATTATGTAAACATTTTATAACAACCTGTACATGACATAATCGATATCTGAGGTGATTAATAAAGCAAAATTTATAAATTATATAATAATTTGGGAGGTATGGTATAAGGTTACAGTTTGTAGAAGATTATGCTGCCGATAAGGAATCTATTTGTTGGAATAACGGATAACGATAATTTCTGTGGCCACAGGCAGTTGAGATGAATCACTAGCTCGACCAGTTGCATACGCTCTGATGCAATTTTCGTCACATGCTCGCAACGTGGCACGATGTTACCTGAGAATAGATTATTGATTTCTTTCGAAGTTTATACAATGTTGCTTTGTGTTTGAGCGGTTGGTCTTCTTTCCTTTATGCTCTATTTGTGTTCTCTTTTTCTTTCATTCTCATATGTACCTGCTCCCCATTTCGAAACGGTTATAACCGTTTATACCTAGCAGGAAACGTGAGTAAACGCACGTACGCATTCATCCAATTTTGTTACACAAAACATGCGGGTTGAATCGCGTGACATATCAAACTTCCTGCCAAAATTCATTAATTTATAAATAAACTATTATCGAATTTTAATTTATTCAGAAAATTATTTTTATCGCAATTAATATTGAAGTAAAATTTGTAATAGAGAATATTAAATAATCATATAACATTCAATATTAATTAATATTCTAAAGTACATGGAATAAACTTTTAAATTAATAAATTAATTAAAGACTCTCATTTTATTATATTTATACACAATTAATTTTTTGATATTTCTAAGTTGAGCAGAGGAAAGTCTCTAAGGCTGTTATCACATTTTTCATAGTTATATTTCATGAATAATTTTTTTGTGCGATAACATTATTAACAATTCCAGAAAAATATTTTAATACAGTTTTAATCAAAGTCTTTGAACATTATTTCACCAGAAGCTATGTTTCAAGGTCTTTTCTGCACCAACGTTCACCAATCCGAATCCAATTACTGAATATTGCAGCGCAGACACTTCAATATAGAATACACGTCGAATATACAAAAACTTGACGAATTGCATGTCTCGTTTCTCTACGGAGGCTGAAGGTTGAAATGGCTGAGCGGTATGCTCGTGGCAGTGTCATTGAGCGATACGACCGCGGTGCCTATATGAAGATGGCACACATAATTACAAACCTGAGAGCTCGGAAGAGTGGACGTCGTTGAATTAGCATAACCGTATAAATGCGCGCACCAGAGGCAACCGGGTGTGTGCATACAAGCGAAGCACCGTGACCGTTTTTGCCTCACCTGCGCACGTTATGTTTATCACTTCTGCGAAGCAGGTAGCCTGCTTCGTCGTCGCTGCCACCCCCGGGGATCTGCCTTCGATAAAGAGAAAGAGACCGTAGGACCGTCGGAGACCACGGACGTTAGCGTTGGGTGGTACAAACGACATTATCGCTGCAATAATGCAGCTCTTGTATCATTTTAATGGACGCGCTAATATCTGCCATTTGCGCGTATGACGAATTTAGCAGCGATAAACATCTTCTAGCGATCGCTCACGCACGTCTGAGCGTGAATTGTTGCGTGACAATAAAACTAACGTGTAACTAGGGTCATAGGGTCATTCTCTTTCCTCCTTCCCTCTTCTCGCTGTCCACACCTCGTTTCCCCTCTCTTTCTCCCTCTTCCTGATACGGTATTAATGATATTGTAGGGCGTCTTTTACGAATATTCAACTCGCGAGTCAATTCCGATTCACGATCTGTCAGGTTGCCTATTTACAATGAGGCTTCTCCGATTTATCAATTCTCTTTTAACTTTAACAGACAGGCGTCAAGAAACTATACCGTGCTTCGATCAATTCTTTATTTTAGCTTCTTATTTGTACAATGTCTCGATTTCGACTGCTCGGAATCGTCATCCGAATTCTCGGTATCGCCGGTCTCTCACGGTGAGACAAGGAGTAGGGAGTAAGATTTTTCGGTAGCTAGAGGGCGATTCAAATCCTACTCCTACAATATAAATAATAAATTTTGTTATATCTTTAAAATTCGAATAATTATACGACTTAAACAGAACATGATAACGGCTTAATGAGTTCATCGAAACTGCATGTTAATGAGATTAAATCAAATGTGATATATTACTTCAATGTGTAAGTGCAATATCTAAGTCATGAATATATGCATATGTATCTAATTTTAATCTTGGATTTTGATTGGATATTTACCAAGATTGTGAACTCTTGATATTCTAATTTCATTACTAATTTTATACTTGCACTATTCGCGTGTACATCGAACATCTTGATTCAATAAAAGATGAAATATAGAAGCTCTCTGAACATCATCGGATATATAAAATACATTTTATTATAATCGCTATCAAACGCAACGGAGATACTTTGTCGGAAGGGAATTTCGCGAAGATCAGTCGCTGTAATTCTCAATCATCACGATTTCTTGTTGGCTCAGTGCTTCTTAATTCTGTGCACACATACGCGCACATGTGCCCTCGTTTCCTGCCGCCTAATGAATCCAACATTAATCTGCGATGCCGAAGTGCATCGTAATCTCCAAAAAGCGACCGTCACGCGGGCACTATACATATAAATCGGCGCAATTATTCGCATAGAAATCACCTTCTAAAATATGCGGAAAAAACCACATTGCAACATCCTGCTGCGATCTCCATAAACAATCTGCACAAAGTGCTCACACGATCTGCCACGTAGTCGACGGGATCGCGTCAAGAGGAACGGGATATCTTTAAAACTTCGAGTGGACGAAGACGGAAGAATGGGAGAGAAAGACAGGCTTCATAATAGAGCAATTTAATAAATTGTCGAACGTAGCAATTAAGATGGTGTTAGGGATCAGCAACGAGACCTTGATATGGTAATTACAGCGATATAATACGTGTGCATTCGTTAGTGGCTGCCTTATAAGATGTATATACACGCATTCGGCGCAGCCAAGTTACGTTTGTACGTCGGATTATTTCGGCCCTCTTTTTGATTGTAAATTATAGCTCATAAAAAAGTGCGCTCATCTTCGCGAGGCACCGCTCACGGTCAGATGTATGTATGCTGGCATTATTTCACATTAAAAAGAATGAAACTGTCTGAATATCTCGCGCAAATCGTTTTGCTCGCTTACGATTTTGAGGAAATTAAAAAGTATACGGCATTGCGAGACATGTAATTGTGACATAAAATTTCGAGAAAGGTTCAATGTTCCTGGAAAATAATACTGTCATTATTTACGACATGCCCACTAATTTAATTTACGTAATGTCAGTGAATCAGTGCGCAAAAAATAAATAAACCTTTCTTTGGACAAAATTCAATTGATATTACTTGATAATTTTGTTAAATTTGTAAATTTTATTCTACTACAAATATTGATAAGCTGATTCGATTAATAAGGCGACAATTATTCTCGATTATAAAAGAAATTACGTTATGATAAGTTTCCAAGATATCGATAATTTCAGTTGAATTCCTGACATGATTATAGACATGCAAATTTTCATTCACGTGATAATGCATGCGATAATGTGGAGTTTTCGAAACTGCACAGTGCGCGAAATTGCACGATGCTTGTCCGCAGTCGCATTCCCATACTCGATACTGCGGGTGGTCGTCTCCGGCGTCGAGCGTTAAAAGCGTACTCACGCGTGCGGACGATGAAGAGGGTCAGAGAAAAAGGATCCAGTAAAGGGAGAGAGAAAGAAGAGAAAGTAAACGAACGGGTTGCAATAAGTGATTCCCCGTAACTATAAATAAGTGGCGATACATCCACGGACGGCTTCGTTCGCCCGTAAATCACGAATCGGGGCATAATCGCCGAGGCAATCTCGAATCTGCCGTGGATCAAGGTGGATCTCACCGCGTGTCCGGGTCCTATCCGTAGCCTTACTGTTGACGGTAAGGTAGAATCTAACCGGCAATCCAGGATCCTGTTATAAATCAGGCCTCGATGTCGATGCGGGCCTGTTCGTAGCAGTGAAATTATCCTAGTCGCTTCGCCGTGTGTATGTGCCAAGACTATTATCCCTACTTTTACTATTGATATCCCGACCTTTAACCGGAACTCTAAGAAGATAGATCAATTACAATATTAATCGAAAATCTTTTTTCTTTCATAATTTAATAGAAATTGTCTAAAGAACATTGTCACAATATCTAAAAAATAAAATAAAATTCTTGTTTCTAAAAAAAGATTGAGTTATGATTTACTTGTTTCCGTTCTATTAATTATTGCCGTTTTATATTATATATTTAGATTGACTAAAAATGATTTCTTATCTTTCTGGAAAATATGTTAAAAAAAATTCTATAATAGCAGTCTTCCATCGATGGATGGTCAGATAAATTCGAGATGAAACAGAATTTCATTGCGTAGTCACGTATCACATTAAGAGATTGCAATCACGTTCAAATCGCATATACACATTCATCGCAGTCAGATTAAATTACATCTACAGATATGTCTGGATTCGATTAGCATGCATATCTCTCGCGAATGATAAAGGAAGACACTAACTATAAGAAGGAAGACACTACGGAAATATTACAGTTTATTGATTTACATAGTGCGTTGAACTTAAAGTGTCATTGAATAACTCTACAGTTAATAATTGGTTTTAATTGTACTTGACTGCAGTTTGGCTTGTTTGTTTTAATTTTTAATTCTGCCATCCGTAGTGATAAATTTTTTGTTGGAATATTTTTTTGCGCGAGGAAATATACTATTATTTTCTTGCTAAAAATTTTATCATATGAAAATGTGCATGCACTAATATGCAGGAATCGGTTTCAGACAATCTACTCAAGTAGTGGCGTGATTTCACGCCATTAATCTTTCCTCAACAATTAACCGATTATAATCGCGGTAGTTATTAATTACAATCAATATATACTTGATAAACAGGTTTATAAAAAGGCAGTTGAACAAAGCCCGTTTATCAAGTGTCTTCAATCCTGTGTTCATTGTGCTTCCAACAGATGCCGGGATCGTTCAGTATTTTTCTCCTTGAGAAAAGAAGCCGAGTGTTATACATAGAACAGACATGATCTTGATAAAAGAATAAATAATATACAATGAATGAAGAAACTAAATATATAAATATGTGAAATGCATGCAATGCACTAAACTTTCTGCTTCGAGAAATCGATACATAAAAGTAACTAATTAAATTAAATATATTTTTTTACCTCAAACGTCTCACACTGAAAATGACTGCAACATATTAACGTACGGCAATTCTTCAAACTTAATAGCGAAATGTAGCAAGTAAAAAGGACATAAGCAATATTTCGAAGAAAGGAGAGAGAGGGTGATAAAAGTTCTTCAACGACGTATTCACAGAGAAGAAAGGGGAATCGAAGAGAGGCCGTGCCCGTTGATTAGCGGATATCTTAATTACTGATTGGCCGCGCGGACTAATTAAATCGTAACTCAATCAGGACTCCGACCTGCCTCCTGCGCGATGGCGATTTTACGAGCGTGTACGCGCGGTTCGGAGGCCCTCGCATACATATGTGCCGCATTGCTGATGGCTTTAAAGCTTTGAATAATGCGCTCCAACCACCCTCCGCCTTATCCCTTTTACATATCCTTCCACCGATCTTTCTCGCGCGGCAGTGTCTCCTTTTTACTTCACCTTTTTTTTATTGATGACCTCCTCGCTCCGAAGCCGTTTCGAAGGCATTATATCCGCCCGGAATAAAAAGTGCAAGTAATTAGTAGTACCTACCGCGCCGTCCTGTTCGTTGAGCGATGTCCTCCGGATCCTCCCACTTTCCGTTCCTATAAACCACTCGAGATATGAATTTTCAATCGTGCAGATGCGTTTTCGGACTGGTGTTCGAATATCATACATCTTTTTACGCGATGCGGGCGCGCGCATTTTGTGACACAAGGACGAAGGCCCGTATTCTCTTCGCACGTTTAATAGCTATTGTGATAAAATAGATTGTCATTTTATATTTATATTATACTTGAATGTTCTCTTTTTATTGAGACACATAAAACTCCGTGTTTAATAGCCATAATTAACACTAATTGTAAGCATACGGGTAAGAATGCCGGCAGAACAATAATTTGTACTTTCTTTTGCACGCTGCGATATTCGAACAAGGTAGCAATTAACTCGTAAGTTCATTATAGCTATAATTATGGTAGAATTCAAGCGCTGCATCAAGTCCATTCCATCTGCGCTTAATATTTTGACAGTTGCATTGTATCTTGACCGATTTATTATATTCGTGAACTGTCGTTTACGCGTATCTCTAAGAAATACTTGCTGCCAGTTATATTTTTAAAAATTTACATTTAAGCGCTCTGTCCCTGAATTATTATTTTAACTTAAAAAAATAGCTCGTATTATATTCCATGACTTCATAATATATAATTAGCATATGCCTTTTTTATGTTTATATTAAAGATAAGCAAAGATTTAAGATTTATGTACAAGGAATTAAAATTTCTTGATAAAATGCTTATTTTAATAATAATCCCTTCTCTTGCGCATATATCACAACGTATATAAAGAAAACACATTGTCCAGAGAACATTCAATATTAAATTAATATATAATTTGCACAATACAATTATTGTTACCAAATTTTACCAAAAATCTTAATTTTACTGAAGAACATTACATTCAGCCAAGATGAGCCTTAAAAGAAACTTATTATTGACACTTGTCATCATCAATGTATTGATGTATGAGAACTTAGCCAGAGAGTAAGCATACTTTTTACATTTAAAACAAATAATTTGTGTCAAAATACAAATATTTAAGAATTTTAAAATTTGCTATAAATAATTTAAATACTAATACAATTTACATGTTATTCTTGTGATATTATTAACTACAATTAGCTTAAGTACATAAGTCTGAATAGTAAATATTTTGAATTTTCTGATATATATAGTTTATCGATTAGATATCGATATAATAATGTAGTAAAATAGATTAATAATATGTATTCATTCGCTCAAAATCTATATAGTCTTAATAATTAGAAAGAGTTATTACTAAACTAGAATTACTAAAATATATAATATACATATATAACTACATAGAAGAAATTAAAATCATTTAATTTAGTTTAATAAATATAAAAAAATCAATTGTATCAAAAGATTTAAGATTTTATATAAATAATTTAATGTAATTTTTACCTACTCCGCAGGTTGCAGATTTCCTTTATATACAAGAGATGAGAGTTGCAATGAAAATAATTTATGTTACGGATATAACAGGATTACTAGAAAATGCGAAACATTTCAGTATAATGGTTGCGGTGCAAACACAAACAATTTTCTTTCATTAACACGCTGCCGACAAGAGTATAAAATTTTGAACTAAATAATAGATAATAAAATTAAATTTTAGTTTTTAATGAAGATAATGCATTGTAACAGGATAAAAAATATACACTTAATAAATAATAAAAATGTAACCATAATATAAAAATATAAAGATATTTTTAACGTTCTTTGCAAGAACAAGTACATGATGATAACAAGCAAGAATAATTATATAATTGTCACATAACAAAACTAACGTTAACTAGGAATATAATTCTATAAAAAATAAATATGATGAAAAAATACGTTGTATAAAGTAAATTTATTTTTATATTAATTTTCAGAAACATTTGTTGAGATAAAAACAAAGTTAACACATATAATATTCTGGTAATTTATCCTTATATCTTCAATTGCATTCTTGTCTTAGTAATCATCTGATGAATATAATTCCATCGCTCTTAAAAAATAGATTTTATTATTAAAAAACTCGAAATATTTTTTATTTTATCATCATACTATTTTCATTCTTAGTAATTAATCATTAGATGTAAAAATAACAAAAATATAATTACCTTTATGAATAAGGTTAAACCACTGATCGACATATTCCATGTTGATTCCTTCGTTGATTTTCCGGGCATTCCTGCTCTCTTTGTGGTACGGTTATGAAATAAGCAGGAACAGCATAATTATAACGAGTCGTTGATGTTGGAAAATCTTCACTGGCATTTTTCTGACAAATCGTTAACGATAAAATAATCATTATCAACACGGTTATAGACAATATTTGTGCAAAATATTTCATTTTTAATATTTAAATTTTAGTAAATGTTAATCAGATCGGTAATAAATTTGATGCGTTATCCTCGTGGCTAGGAATCAACAGTCTATCAGATCTTATTACGTTCTGTTAGATTCTCCCGATGTATCCGCTATTTATAATCCTTTCTGATTGCGCAAACTACGATTACGCAAACTTTTTTCTTGGTATTTCAAACTCAAACAACTCGCCAATGTAGATTTTTAAATACATAAAAAGAATCATTATTAAAGAAGAAGCTGTCCTTGAAGAATATATCGTTAATATTTAAAATTTTTAATTTTATTATATTTTAAAGATGAAAATTATGTAGTTTATATTCTATAAAGAATTATATTATAATGTTCTTCTTTTCACATAGCATGCATTAATGTTGATAGTAGTGTTACATTTCCTACTAAAAAATTGTACTAAAAATTTATCACAATCAACTTTAATATTGAAATATATGATAGCGCCTATTTTCCTTTATTTTATTTTTATACTTTCTATATTTAAAAAAAAGTATTTTATTTTTATATTCTTTATATTAAAAAAAAATAGAAATATGTAGTTTTAAAAATTAATTATAAAACTATTTTTTTCGGTTTCTTAACAAATTATTGATGATAATACAATATCAGTATTATAACAAAGTTATAGATATGTAATAACAATTTTATCTAATACTTCATTTTTTAATAGATTTTTTAAAAAGTTTTAATGAATTTAACAAGCTATTTTTAAAACAAAAATTAATCTGCTAATATTGATATTAAATATTTAATGATTTCACAGAAATCGGTACATCTTCTAATATTCCTCACATACCCGCTGTTTACAATCATATCCAAACAATTACGTAAATCAATTAACAAAATTCATCAACACTTTCATTGCCAACCGCGCACAAGATGTCTAATCTACCAAATTCCAGGAAGCAGAAAAAATGTTTAATCTTTATTTTAAAATTATTATTCATATCACTATATATATTACACATAAATACATACAACAAACGTTTTGTTATAAATGACAAAATTAATTGCTAAACTGCTCAATAAATAAAGTTTACTGCCTGGTTTTACATCTGCCATAAAAAATTATCAATACACTTAACTTTGAAGCAATTTAACTGGCAATTTAACAGCCAAAGATTATTTTAGATGCACAATTTGTATTCATGAAGTGCAAATCTTAACGAAATACTTAATTTAGTATCTTATGTAAATCTTAACTCAAATATTCGGATATAATGAATGTAGAGAGCACAATATAATTACAAAAAATATTACTTTAGAAAAGAAGACATAACGAAACGCTTTTATGTAAGGAGAAGCTTGTATAATCTGAAATATTCACAATTATCGGATCAATTATTTTGCCGCCAATTAATACACTCGATCTCATGCACATTGAAGATACCTCGTTACTCCGACAATGTAACATCGGATGGCAAACAAACGTCTTAATTAATGTAAAGGATGACAAAGATAAAAAACGTGACATTGGCATACGCGAATTTTGTAACAAATTGGTGTATCTCTGACCACTAGGACCGCCAAACCGCCTCTCTTTATATTTATAATAGCAATCGTTTTATCATCTCGATCGCCTTTAGCGGGATGGTTAACTGCTCCATACGCAAAGCAATTAATTACGAGTAGTCCGTATTAATCTTTGCAAATTGGGACCGAAATTCTCAGAGTACGCCCCGCAATTTATAGTGCTCCCTATTCATCAGATCGCGCAACAAAACCAAACCATTCTGTAAAACAAATGCAGATTTCTCTTTTTTAATTTTCTGACTTGACTGGATAAGTCATATAGTAAGAGATAAAATTCTTTTTATCACAGGACCATTACGCTGTCCGAAATTTTTTTAACTGATGAAAATCGGCACATAAAACAATCCACGGTGTAGTTGATAATTCTTTTCGTACTTACGGAATGAATAATTAGTAAATTAAAAAAATATATGTAAATTTCTAGGCTACTTTACTTCTTTCGAACATAAAATTAGTACAAATTTCTCATTAATTGTTGAGAATATATTGAGAGTACTTTAGATTAAATGAAATATTGTAGTTATAAGATTATACGATATACAGTTTAGTTGCGCTTTTTGCTCATTCAATCTTGTCGAGGATCGATTTCTGCGCCTCATAAATTCTTTGACAAGATATCGTCATCAACTCTTGCTCCTTGGGCGTATACGACAAACGAATAAATGACTGTACGCCGTTTCTCCCTACCACACATGGTAGTGACATAAAGATATCTTTCTCTAGTCCGTGTCGGCAACCCTAAAATATATTTCACATTTTTAACAAAAACAAATTCTTGTATTATCCACGAAAATATATTTTTCATTTAAATTCGGGAACAAATTAAATACATATTTACGCGTGCCGCTGATATGTGTTATCAATCTTTCATTACGCAGTAGAATATTAACAATGAAATTAATATGAGCAGGATAAAACGCTACAAAGCGTGTGTGTAATTCACAGAACGTATGATTGACACTGCTAAACGAAAGTTTAATAATATTAATAAGTCTCATTAATGAACCTTGATGAATGTCGAAACGGTGAAACAGGCGCAAGTATTGCGCACGATAGCGTCGACAATTTCGCCTGCACAGATACCGACTGCCCAGCTGTGATAGCCTTTTTTATTGATCAATTCTTTATCGGTGTCGATCACTTTCGTGTGCAAATCACTCCAGGATTCTGGATCCGATTTCGTACCGATTTCTTTATTTATGTCCTTTAAAGGCATGCCCATTACCGCAACGGCGGACCAAACCGGCACTAATACATATTCAAATAAAGCATACAAATAGAAAAGTTAAAAGACAAATTTAATAAATTAAATAAACACGGCATCTTTATTTTATTATTAGAATTTACGATATTTTAACATCAGTTACCAGAAGTCGGTCCGCTTTCGCCAATGATTAACGCTTGAATCGTACTCGCCGAAATTCCGAGCTTCTGCGCGATGAAATACTGAAATCTACAACTATCCAAAAACGTTCCTAGTCCTATAACACGATTGGGTGGAAATCCCGACAGTTTCATAGCAACGTACGATAGGATGTCGACTAAATAAGAAAATCGAACAATTCAAATATCGTATTACATATATTTGCACAATGTTTAATTAAAACATATGCCAGCTTGTTGATTACAACATGCTTAAAAGTTATAAGATATTCTGATAGAAATACATCTGTTACTACTCGTCGAAAAAAAAATATGCACTCCAGTCTATCGATAATATCAAAATACGAATACAACTGCTGTAAACGCGTTTAATATAATAACAAGACATACCTGGTTTCGAAAGAATGAGAAGAACACTGTTCGGTGCGTACTTGCAGACGTTCGGAATAATGTCCTTGAAAATTTTCAGATTATGCTCTAGATAATCAGCTGATTGCTGATCCTCCTGCGACTGGCTTCCAACTGTGATCACGCATACCGCGGCATCTCTGGCGCAAGCGTAGTCTATCGAAGCGTAACATACGCTGGATGATTTACCGTTTAGCGCAAAATAATCGATCTTATTTCTTTCTATAATTATACCCAATAAACATAATATGTACCTTCAAAATAATTATAATAACATTCAAATCTTAAGAAATTTTTAATAAGACACCAATTCTATTGTTAAGAGTTGCAGTTTTATGAAAAAAATTGAAGTATCCTTTTACTTTATCAACATTTATTAGTAATTAATTTATAAGTGCACAGCGTTCGCACATCAGTCATCGATGTGTGATGCGAGGTGAAAGGTTTATCTCACTTTTATTAGCATCTTAAAATGTTTCGATGCTGGCAGTAAAGCGCACGTACGTCACCTTCTGCGACCTTATCACTAATCGTAATTGCGCGATGTACTTATCCGAACGTTAAAGCGCGGTTGTTTCGAGATAATTGCTCGTTATTCGCGATGACGATCTCGGCATTTTTCTCTCCCCTCAAATCAAGTCTCACCTTTGGTACCAATAATCCTCGGATTGCCGAGATACGCCGCCGCGTGGCTGATGTCTTCTGCTTCCGCCTTGGCGAGATCCTCGTTCACGTCTATGAGGACGAGCTCGGAGGCAAGACGCTGCGAAAAACCGAACAAGGGGGATGAACGGTGGCGTAGGGTGGCGGACAGCGTGTAGCTGGAGAGTAATTAGTGGTAACCGGTCGTTGCCCGGCGGGTAGCGTTATTACGCACTACAAATCGTTACGCAATGAGCAACGGGGCCCTCCCGGGAAACGCATTAAGACAGCGGACTAGTGCGCGATTAATCGCGCCATTCGCAAAGTCCCCTAATGCGAGAACTCGTTAAGGTCCGATCATGTTTATCGAGAAATGGTATCAAGATGCGCCATTTTCGGGCAAGATGCGCCTCGCCGGTTTCACCGGTTTCGATCGCCGTGGCCGCCGTTATTGCCATAACTGGTGACACAAACCATGTCTTAGGCAGGCCGATAACTTATTCATGAATAATTATGAGATGGGTACGGCTTCTTCTCGCCTTTTCTGTCCACCTTCCGTCCCCCACCGGCAACCGTCAAAAGATTCAAAAGAGGAACCGCGGTCCCTCGCGACCGCATTCGTTATGGAATGTCAGGCGAGCCCGAAGAATGCTTCTGCGACCCCCTGCTTCTGCTTCATTTTTCTCCCGCAATCATGGTTTCCTCATAAAGCGCTTTCTATTTGTTTCCGCGTGAACGTTTTAGTTTTATTAACACACCTGAGAATATGGCGAAGGTAACGTTATTTGACTTGTAGAGTGTGGCAAACGATGCGGCAAACGAGAGAGGCAAGGGACCACCAGTAATCTATATTCGTTTTCGAACGACCGATCATTAAGCTTTGAGTGGTTCTCGAAGACTAGTTCTAATTTGTGCGGGCTAATTTACGGTATAATGAGATATTTCGACGATCATGTAAATCACCTCGTAAAAGTTAATGGATACTATTCTCCTAGGGTCGTATCGTATACAAAACGCGCTTTCGTGGCAATGGCAGCACAGACGGCCTGTATTAGATACACTTTACCAGATGCATTTTTCTCTGACAAATGATGCTTTCACGTGTTAAGACAAACGCCCGGCTAACTAGAAAATAGCTTGTTAATTATATTACGCCCTTACGCTTCCAATCTGTTATTGTTCGCCGCTCAATTATCATGTTTCGTCAGGCGTGAGTTCCGAAATATGTGCAACAATATCGCGAGCTTCCGAACTTCTCTCGAATAGATCTGTCGCTGTCCTTTTCAGCATCAGTCACTGTCATTTTTACTGAATCGCCCTTGAATACGCGAGCTCTTTCAATCTGCCAATTTCTCCACAACCGGTTGCGTTGAACATTGACGCAGATCTGGCGCCGCAGATATGCGAACGACATATCCTTTGCTGAAGGTTTTGTTTGGTTTAATTCGCGCAGCTTGATACAGGTTATCCGACACGGCGCGCCGTGTCGCAGCGGAACGAGAAGCGAAGAGTGCGAGAGGAAGAGGGAAGATGCCTCGCGCGTGTAGTCGCGAGGAACTTAGGTACGGGTAGATTCGCAAGGTGGACGGTAGGCCGTAGTTGTTCTCCGCGATGATCTCGTTGATGCGATCTGCCAAGGTTACGACGCGAGGTGCAACAGCACGACTCGGCCGTATCTTTCGCTTCTTGCTCCTCTTCTTCGTGCTCCTTCTCTCCGCGCTTCTCTCTGAGCCTCCTCGCCGCCGGACGTTCCCGGCAATCAGGAGACATCTTCGTGATCATGTCGGACAAGCGCCACCGAAATTTCGAGTCGCAGTTAAAACGACCAACGTTGAGCGGGAAGATGTGTATTTTCAGTTCCCGACAAATGCTAACGGTCGCGCGAGAGGAAGTCATTTGTCATTGTCGAAAACGCGGACACGAAGAGACTTAGAAGGAAATCCACGGCATTAATTTAGCGTGACGCGAGTAATTTTCCTTAAAAGCTGTTATCGTCGGCGGTAACGAGGTCTCTAATATTCCCAGTTATTCTCGGTACCATCGTGACCCCTTTGTACTTGCGCGATGAAGCCTCCTACATATTATTTACTCTCTCTCTCTCTCGATGTATGTACATCGTTCAACGAGGAGTCTATCGTCAGATACGCCCTCCGCATCCCATCGCGTACAGACACCATTGTTTGCCCTCGTAAATTTACAGAAACTGAAACCTAGAATTAGTCGCCCACGTTTATTACCTTCTACTGGAATGTACCGAGCATACGGTTTAACCGATATTGTTGCACCCTTGTAACGGCGCCGTTCGCAACATGTTCTATCAAGTTTAACTCCCCCTCCCCCCCCTTTCCCTCGTGACTTCACCCTTGACGAAGCAGACACGTGAAGCGGACGGAAATTATCTAAACAATACAATGATAGTATAGGATTTCGTTTTAAAATGCAGTCAGTTTCGTCTGTCCTCTATTTCCATCTTTCTTATTTTCCATCGTTACGTTATTCAGCTTGTCTGTTGAGTCGCAAAAAATTTAGTTAAAATATAATTAAATGCAGTTAAATAAAATTTATGGAAATTTTTTTTAAGCACGACTTGTAAAGCCTCGGATCAATTAGCATCACACAGTAATGCTCCATTTGTGTACACATTTCGCGAGAACTCCAAGCAAACCGTTATAAATCGCGATTTCTCTCCATAGTTACCAACATAAATCAGTCGGCTAACTATCCTGCGGGGGTGCATAGTCGACGTGTAAATGCTCGCGTTACGATCCGATAACGAGCGAAAGGATGCACGGCCCACTTCTCTACATCTTCCGTCGTCTTTTTCCTACCATCTCCCTCCAACCACCGCGTTCCGCCTTGCTCCTTCCTACAGCCGAATTGCCTCTTCTGGTCTTCCGTGGATCATTTGCATAATAGCCTTTTTGAGCCGGCACACTAACGAGCCTACATTCAGGACTCGTCCCCCGTAAACCTGTACGTATACACACGCATGGGACCTACACATCGTCGGCCGAAGCATTCCTCAGCCCCGTCGCCTTCGTTGAATGCAACTCGAGGGTATCTCCCGAGATCCGCCAACGTGGAGTGTTATACCTTTGATTCACCCGAACAAATACGAATTACGTGCTCGAGCCACGCGGATACGACGCTATGTCTCATTCACGCGCGGAATCATTGTAGACGCGTTTAGACTGACGTATCGAGTACCGTATCGTCTGGTGAATCAAAATACAAATGCAGGAATCGATTACGCACTTGCGCATCAATCGGCCAGCGAAAAAATATGTGCCAATTTTATATTTTTCACAATAATAATATAATAAGATAATTTAGATTATTGTTATACGATACATCACATTAAAAAAAAAAAAGTATGATTTTAAATTCATTTAAATTACCTAACCAAATTGACATGAAAGGTTAGAACCAAAAGAAAACTGACAATGTGCTGCACTTACCTTGAATAAAATCGCTATAGCGACCGCAACGCCTTTGGGTGCACTACCGACAACGACGACCTTGACATGACGGCTATCCACAAGATGTTCTGCCTGTTTGGTCAGTAAAAAAGTTACCGTGTTGCCAGCGACGTCGGGCGATTTCCTTCTCGATTCCGTCATATTTCGATGCGCGGATGCTCTTCCGCCTCGACACAACGCTCTGTAATTTACACAAACCAAAAACTGCTCGACATCGTGGACATTTCTAATTTATACTTTCTAAAATTTTGCTCTTCTATTAAAATTTATATAAATTAGCAACCATTTGGAAAAACAGACAGTCGGGAAAAGAATTTTGACAGAAGGACAGTGAAGTTAACGGCGAAAGTGTGTAGCAAGTAGATTTACTGTTCAATTCGGAGCGGTAAAATGGGATATTCAAGAAGGTAGTTGAATCGGCTTTGTGAGATGAAATGTGAAAGAACTACCTTCGCCTTTTGTGTCCGACTTATTCTGTACACTCATAATGCACGCACGAGATGTGAACCTCAAGTTATCTTGTAGCGGGAGATATACAATCCGATTAACACGTTCGATCACGGACGAAAAGATGCTATCGATAAATTCAATCGCGCCGTACAGAATCAATTATAGTCGGGAAAAATGTTCGTTGTACAAAAAGGTAAATGTTCGCGGAGCAGATGTAGAGACGAATCGCCAATTCGACGCATCGTTCCCGCTATAGTTTTCGTTTTTCAGGGGGATAGAAGGTCGCGAAATTGATCGACAGCTGTTCGATTCGCACAGATGGGATGCGCTGTGTTCTCGGAGAAATACTTCCAATTTCCGTTTTACAGGCTATTCGAGAAGGGTCCTCGGAATTGACTTTCCTTCTGTTCATAGAATCAATTCAGCTCTCTATTTATTTAATCATTATTCAAGTTCTACAATTATTGCTTTTAGCAAGAGTTAAAATGTTCAAATAAAACCTCACACAAATTTAATATCAAGGACGTCTACAATATATATATAGCGGAAAGACTTCACTACACAAGCATAAAGCTAATGCAGAAAAAGGTTGTAGTTTAAATTATCCAATCTCTTTTAGCCGCAGCTCAACCATACACTTGCTTCGCGTGCAACAGAGAATGCATTTTCATCCGCCCTTTCACCTTTACGCCGTACATCGGTTGCGTAAATCAAAATTCGATCGAGCAAAAAGAAAAAAAAAGGAACGATAATAAGCTCCACACGCATGGAACATCGTAGCGCCAAGTTGCATGTACCGCTTGCAAGCAATCTTAGGAGAGCGCGGCTAGTTTAATTTTTCAGGAAATCGAGTTTTACTCGTGTATAGTTTATTATGGCGATCAAATGTGCGGAAACACGCGGGAACCGGTCGCCAGGTGCAGCATCGTCTTTATTGATGAAGATGCATTCTAAAACGTTGCTCGTTTTCCCCCCCCCCGTCTTCTTCCTTGTGACTTCCGTCGTGTATCCGTTCGCAGATCCTCCACGTTTCTCGCCCTCCTTTCTTCCACGGTCCGCCCGTCACTCCTCAACGTCGTTCGTCGGTTCGCGAAGAATGCCGCACTCGCGTAACACACTACGGATGTCGTCGGCGCATCGCTGCACCGCCGTCTTTTCCTGATCGTTCAGCTTCTGTCGCATCGTGGCGTGCACACCCTCCCGGCCGAGAACACAGGGTACCGACATGTATACGTCTTTGTCGGTTCCATGAGAACAACTCTGCGAACGAAGATTCCTTCAGCTTGTCCGTCGTGCCAATCAACATGCGAATAAGCGCGTCTCGGAGTTTTGCTTAACGCGTAAATGTTCAAGAAAGGATCGACGACACTTAAAAATCGATAAATACGAAAAATATACATATATATAAATTAAAGATTCAGTTGCTTAATATTTATATACATTTTTTATAATTATTTAGTAGCAAATATCAAATATTTAATGTTCGTTCAACAAATTTTAATTTTTTATTTTATACTAAATGTCTAATTTTGCAAAAAAGTAGTAAATATTTATACAATACTGTTGATTTTGATTTGCTTTCTGAATTGTTAATTAATTTGTTTCTTTATAGATTTTGATGGACGTAATATAAACTTTCAAAATTCATTCAACGTATTCAACGATTTTGAAATATTAATTAAATTCTTACGTGTATATATGTCGACGCTGGCAATACCACTTTAGTATTCCTGACGATGGCGTCAACAATCTCAGCGGTGCAGAAGCCGAGAGCCCAGCAACTCGGCCCTTTCTTACCCTTCTTCCGATTAAGTTCGACTTCGCTGCAAACGCAACGTTTTATTACTTCCCCAAATTCTCTTTCAAAAATAATCCTACGTGTGATCTTAGCCACTGACGTTTTATTTACAGCATCAGAGATGTCATGCCACTTCTCGGGATCGTCCGCTTTACCCATTTGTGGGTTTATGTCGTGTATCTTCGTACCCGCCACGTGAACGCTCGACCATATGGAAACTGTGTGAAACGGCAGACGTTGAAGGCAAAGGGATCGTTAACCGTCAGATCGTTTAAACTAAAGTATACGCAACATTTAAATACGATTGACATTTACAGCGTGAAAGTGAAATATTTACAACGCTCGCGAGAGTACTTAAATATTAATATTGCACGCGGTTAACGAGGATCTGTTAATGTTCAATAAAATCTTATCGTTGAAACTGCAGCTGTTAATAAAGAAATTCTCACTAGTTATAAGTCTACGCAAAATTGGACAACAAATACCAGATGTGTCGCCCTGCGCGCCAATATTCATGCAGCTGATCGATGTGCGTGCTAGTCCTAGCTTCTGACTCAGTAAATCCTGAAACCTGGAGCTATCAAGCAGCGTTCCGGTGCCGAGCACTCGGCTCGAGGGAAACTTGGACAACTTCCAGGTGATGTACGACATCACGTCGATCGGTTGAGTTGCAACTAGTAACACCGCTTTACATGCTAGTTTAGCGATAGTGGGGACGATCTTCTTGAACACCTCAACGTTGCGTTTCACATTCAGCTCCTCCCCGGGCTTTCTTTCGCAGACCGCAATTACCACTACGGTGGAATCTTTAACCTTGTAGATATCTAAAATACAATCGATCGTAGATCTTAGATTATCGTGAAATTCTCGAGTTCGGATACATTTTAATTTTGTAGGCAGCGTTTCCCGAGAGAGTTAAGATATAAATCGAAGCCTTTGTAGGAAACTATTCATGCAAAAGAAGCCTCGACGTGAAATGGCTGCTTAAAAATCAGATACACCTCTCTGGAACGTCTTCTTTGATCGTGCAATCGCCAGCTGGAAGCGCGTGGAATACTAATCGACGAGAAGGGATAGAAATTTTCTCCCCTTTCGAGAGAGAGAGAGAGAGATTCACCGTGAAAAAAGAGATGCGCCGATAACGACGGCGGAGAAGACAATCCGGCGTGGTCGGAAAAATAAAGAGTACAGATCCGTGGCAACACCTTCACAAAATGCTTGTAGTAACACGCAGCGGTATCGCAACTATACGGAAGACACATTTACGACGGGAAGATGTTGTTACAGATAACTTGGCAAGCCCGTAAAAAAGTCGTCCCACTTGTTCCAGTAATTGCTACCTCGCACGAGAAAAGATCGGAAAGAAACATTCCGCTAGATATAAATACCGTCGAAAGCGACGCTACTCGCGAAGAATTGAAATCTCGCGGTCGGAGCCAGCACCCGACGAAACTATTCACGAGATCAAACTTTCATTCCAGTTTCCGTTCTTGTGAATTCCCACGAAGGCTTTTTACAAGCGGCCGCACGCTCGTCGGACGGGGTAACCAGCGCGCCGTACGCGCGCTGGAAACAAAAACAGAAAACCGCGTAGAGTCGATCACGGCTGAGATAAATGAGAGTGGACGAAATTTACGGGCGTGTCCGTGAAAAGCTTTGAGGGAAACGCTCCGGCCTCGCCGGCCCGTAAGCGTACGGCGATGTTAGATGAGAATCGAGATTAAAGGACAGGTCCATCCGCTGGAAAGATCTTGGTCCCCGAAACACGCTGCTATACTTAAAACCCATTCCCGGCCTATGCGAGATCACCGTTGTTTCTGACCCGTTGCACGTTGACAGGGGTCTGTCGACGAGCAATCTGACGGGTCGCGTCTGAAATGGGTGTCGATCGGAGCGAATGATCGTGGCGCATGGGTGACGCTCTCGGCAAGCTCATCAGTCCGAACGTATCAATCTGAAATTTCTGGAATTCGTGCTGTCGTGAATGAGGCTGCCTTACTTCTAACGCGCGGAAGGCCCACGGACGCTTACGATTCGTTGAGTTTGGATTGTGAATAGAGCACGACGACGGGATCATCCGGAGTGTGAATCACCGTGACAACTCTAGCACCGGCTTTACTTTGACGTGGATAATGCAACGACGGATTATTTTTTTTTTTCTAAAGACCAGGCACGATTAAGAAGCAATGAAAAAAGATGCAGTTGGATTGAGCGATTGTTATAATTTTCATTCTTATTTATTGCAGTGACGATTTTTATTTATTTCATCTGTGCCTTAAATTTAGCACAAAAATTTACTAACTTTTTTCAACTGGCACTTGTAATATTAGATTGTGTAATTTGATATTTTCTGATATTCTTATTGTTTTTAAACATTGTAATATATAAGCGGAACATAATTACAACTTTGAGGAATAAATATTTAATTTACATCTTAATTAGACTGCGCTTTGCTCGACAAAACAAGTGTACAGATTTATTTAAAAAATTCGAAATTACACAACCCAATAGATAAGTATTTCATATTTAATCGATATTTAAATAATATTTTGCGAATTTTCTCTTCAAAGCGCATAAATTTACGGTTATGCTGTGTGAAACATAATCGATGAAAATGTAATAGAATACCTGACGTGCCAGTCACCAGCGGGCATCCTAAAAAGACACCGGCGTGCTGAATGTCTTCGGCTTCGGCAGAAGCCTTGTTCGAATTTTGGTCGATCAAACAAACCTCACTCGCTATGCGCTGAAGACCACGAGAAATAAAACAGTCAATCATTGTGAATTGCATTGTATTGTTCTACAAGTACTACTAACTCTCATCAAGATCGCGATGGCGCAAGCCATACCAACTTTTCTTGTACCCACGATCGAGACTTTAACGCAGTGCGGATAAACATCGCACGGCCCGACTTGCCTCGTTATTAAAGCGTTCTTCGTAGTAGTTGTTGTGATCGGCGTTTTATCGATCTAAATATTAAAGACGCATCTTTCTACATTAAATATAGCAAGGCCAAAATAATACTTGCAACTATTCTTATCTGCTAAAAGCAAACAGCTTGCATTTTGTACTATATCGAATAATTTTTATATCATAAGCAAGCGGTTTCTTTTAGATCTAAAATTTTCGTTCGCAATATAAGATAGCCTTTCATTCGCTCCCGACTTACGTCATCATGTTCGATGACATCTTGTGTCTTCTCGTCGACATTACACTCCTCTTGAGAATCGTCTCGTTTAGGCACCTCGGATCCCTCGTCATCCATGCCCCAGTCGTTACTGTTAGTTCACCGAACAGCTGCACGCAGCCGTACAGTTAATGAGAACATGATCCCACCCATCTGTGTGCTTTAATAACTACGCGTGTACTCGCACCTCCCTCGTCCCCGTGTTAGCGCTTTAGATATATCAGCCGCAACATTTCATCACCTTTATTACCTCAATCGTGTGACTTCCTTTTTCTATGTTATTAACTCCCGTGAACGCTCGTCGAGGTGGTCGTTGCTTCCCAGGAAGGGGTTTAAATGGGCAAGCGAGAGAGTCACTCCTTACGCTTTATGCAGATCCGGATCGACCTACGCAGAAACAAGGCATTGGTTTTTCAGGTGAATCCAAGTACCTCCGTTATGAGGAAGCGAGAATATTCATGCGCGAGAGAGGAGAAGAACTCCGCGAGAGAAACTCTAACTGGAAGAATAACGGCGGAACTTATCCGCGAGCCTCGCTGTAAATTAGCCGCAGGTAGTCGTCGTGGAAACCCCCGCATGTCCTCCCGGTGCTTCCTCATCGCTCCGTGACTCGCTAGTACACTCCCGCAACATATCTCGCGGTTGGAAGTGCGTGTACGCGCGTAAAATACGCTATTAGTTAATCATAGCAAATGGATATGATTTTAATGACTGTTCCGAATGGGATAATTAACTTCGTGTAAAATCAAGCAACTTTTTAATCATTCCTTCGCGAAGGAATTTTATCGAAACACCGAACAGGTTTCTCTTGGAAAAAAAATATCGTCACCGACGGAGACAAATTTTGATTAATTAATAATAACATCGAAAATGTTAACTTGTTATTTTTATAATACATTACGCTCTTTCGTGAAGCGTCTTTCGCGAAGACAGATAAATAACTTTATCTTTATCTCTTCATCTTTAATTTGCGCAGTGTTCAATAACTTAGTAATTATGTCTTGAAGGAAATTTATGTAAAGAAAAAATTCTCAAATACATTGGGGAAGTGTTGTCCAAGTTTCGTAAGAAAAAAAAAAAAACCAAATGTATTATTTATTTTCGAACGAGTGGACGGGGGATTATTAACGTCACTCGCTATATTATCTTCAAGACAGGCCTAAGAACTTCGTTCGAGCCATAGCAAACATGCGATGCCATATATTTTTTTCCGATGCACGCGTTGAAAGTAATTCCTTGCGCCCGCAATATAATGATCGAGCGACAATCTTACGAGCATCTGAAAAGGGACCAGATAAAAAAAAAGTAAAACTTTTCCATTTACTTTTGGCGCTCGCCGATAAATCATGTCCGTTGCATTTAGGAGTAGCGAGCGAGGCGTTCCCGGTAGTTTGAGTATCACAAGGTTTTAACACACATTCGAAGATGGATCTGCCTCCGGAGAGGTCTCGTTTTTCGCGCGTGGTCCATACGCCCGGCCGCTCCGCGTTCACGGACGCACATTCAATTTTAGCGTTAATAATCGCTGGGAAAAATGACGACCTTAAACGCGGCCATTCATCAGGACCGATCGATATTGCGAATGCGCCTTAACGACGGAGAGATACCATCGACCGTCCCCGCTGCAGAGTTATTGAATCGCGTCAAATAATATACGAGCCAATAATGTATGAATAGTCCTGCAATTATGGCCCGCCGATCGTATCTAAGGGCGCGTTGTAATTTAGTAATCGTTCATTCTCACCACGCCGGACGGCGAATATCGGCGAATATCGGTGGATGCCGATCGGCCGCGATGCTGTGTGATTTTTCACATGACGCGCCCGAAGTTTAGGGAACGCAATTGCTATAATTCGCACGAACGCCAGCTCGATAAAGCAGCCCCCGCCGCGCTCTCCGCGGTTATTCGCTACCACATCCGGATTCTTTCGCCGCTCGCTAGATTATCGTAGGATTGTAATAGGATAATACGTTTTGTATCTTTTTAATGACCCCGTGATGCTCGCAGCCATTCATAACGCCAGTTAAAATCGGTATCTACCAATTAAACGATTTCCTAATAACATCCACGCAGGACCGAGAGAATAGTAGGATCGGAGGTGAGGAAGTAATTGCGAATCTGACATTTGTAGTTAAGCGCCGTGAGTGGGAACGAAGCGCCCGGCTTCCTGATAATTAATTCTCCGCCTTAATTAATCATGGGAATTTTATCGAACGTTGAAGCAACGATACGAATCGAGGCGGGAGCGTCTCTCCGTCCGCGACAGTCTATCAACAGTATCGATGTCTCGCCGATGTTCTCCGGCGTTCGCGCGTTCGAACGCGCTATTGTAACCGCAATGCCCAAACACAAGAAAGAGACCCTCGCACGAGGACACGAATCGACCGCGATAAAGGCGTGATTCGGCGATAACGATGTCTCGTGAGGCAAGATTTAGTCGAGTGGACGGTGCAAACGAGCCTCCCGGAGATAGTCAACGAAGGTTGGTCGTAAGCAACCGATCTTCTGGTACCCAGACCCAGTCAACCGATCCAGACACTGGCTCGCGCATGCCTTCGGTGCACAATGGTCGGTAGTATTGCAGCTGATACAAGTATGTTCGCCGTGCAACCGGAATTTTAATTGGCTATTTGTTTGTCCGCTACACTTCGTGGAGCTGCTATTGTCCGCCCTGCCGCGGGAGAACGGCCATCACCTCTCCTCCCCCTCTTCCGTCCCCACCCCTTTGCTCGTGCTTGCTTTTCATCGGCGCGGTATTAATCTACTTTTAAGAAAGGAAGCGTTCCGCGAGGTCACTCCTTCAATGTGTTAGGATTGTTTGGTTTAATCCCTGAAATTGGGAATCTTTTCTCGGGGCATCACGCCGGAATGAAAAAAAGCTGAAGATTAATTGAATTTTTACGATCGGCTTTCGATCGGATTTTGTAATACATTGCGTGGAATCGATGTTAAAAACACGCTGCGATATCAGTTGTTTCTTTGACTTAATTTTATCTTTAATGCGTGTTAAGTTTATGAATTAAATTCACCGCGTAAGTCTTTATTTTTTCAGTAATGCGCTTTTTAATAAATTAGACTACGGATTTGCCATTCGGTTTAATTAACGGTGCAAGAACCGAGACGGTTCAGTTGTCCAAAACCGTGCAGACCGCTCGAAGCAGAGCAATGAAACATCGCATGCGATCAAAAGACCGGTATTGAACCCCGGCACTTTGCGTGTGCCTCCGTGATACTTATTCCAATTAAAATCAAACCTTTATTTAAAGTCAGAGCCAAGTACAAGGGTTAAATGACTGAAACGCCTAAAAGAGATACACGCAGTGCTTGTGAGAGAAAATGCCATTGATATCCCGAGAGAAACAAAGGTCACGAACGCAAAATCGGCAGCCCGACAAGCATTATTGGTTTCCGTACATCTGTTGCGTTGATTAATCGCTCGTTATTTACAAGAGCTCCGAGATTCATTTCCACCGTAATAATTATGGACTATTTGAATGGGCCGCGCGGGAGTGTTTCTTTTTTTTTTTGGGAGGTGTGCGTACGCTCCGGCGTAATCTCACCAATGATCACGTACGATATTAAAAATTTGCCAGCTCACGGCTTTCAATCGAATGCCGGAGATCTCGGAGCACGGTCGTAGGAGGTCGGGACGTTACGTACGTACCGGCCACGTACGTACGACCCCCGTGGCTCGTTGAAATATCGCGCGGACGCCGGTTCATTTCGATATTCCTGGCCCTGGGGGCCCCTCGACGAGGAGAACTCCTCTCGGGATCGGGGCGGCGGAGGAGGGCCGGGCAAGAGACCTCTCGTTTTATTGCATCGCATCGGGAAGGGGCGAGGCCGATGCGCAATTGTTTATGCCCGTGTCCCGCCCTATCGGACGCATCGGACACATTCGAACATACCTACCACGTATACGCCGAGCGTGCTGGCGAACGGACGTCGTGTGCGCGCACGCTGCGCGCCGTACCCTTTCCGCGGCCGCGCCGCGCTCCTCTCTCTCCGTACTCCTCCTCTTTGTTTCTTCGTTCGGGCTAAGATTATTAATGGCCAGACCGAGGCCCGATACCCCGAAGTGTCAGCCCCGTGACAATGACGAAGCTCGCACCTCGAGTCCACCTTCCTTTCTTCTCCCCTCTCCCTCATTCCTCGTCCGAGAGGACTGAGTTCTGTGCGTTATCGCGTGTCACTTCGATTGACGCCGTAGGTGATTGCGATGGGAACGGCGTAACGACGCGATTTGCAACGCGAGATCGTACCATCGACTCTTCATAGTTTCTTAAACTCCGCAATTCGTCCCGCGGCTAACAATGGATATTTCAGAAAATATTTTCGTTTCAATAATAATTTCTAGGAACAAGAATAATTGTGATGTTATTAGATAAATGTCTAAGTTAAAAATGTTGACAAAAACAAATATAGAAAGAGAAGAATAGGGTGTACGCGTTAAAATTATGGCTTAGACAAATATTCAGAAGAGAAAATGCTTAAGAGGTAACTGGCGCAAGGATCGGCAGGCAGATGCTTCCGAATGATATCTATATGAGGGAGTGCGATGTTTAGAGCGACAACGCACAATGGCGGCAGGTGTTGCCTATCAGATCGTCGGGCGGATTGATTTAAAGCGGATATATAGACCATAAGAATATAAAACTACTTTATTTCCTTTTCAGACGGCAAACTCTTAATCTTGCCGTATCTCTCGATGGACCTCCCAGAATATACGTCGCTCGAGTGGAAGGAAATATCAAAGCAAAATTGGTCTGATGCACTGATTACTTAATTAAATTAGTCAGGTGTATTGGAAAATTGTTCAAAGACATGAAAAATGATCTTGCAAGGAAAAAATGCTCAGATGAAACCAGCGGCCCTCGTCAATAATTAACACCGAAATCCGAGAGTGTATTGTGTATTCGGGGGGGGGGG